TTTGTAGATTACCATTTGGGTTAAAAAATGGGCCGAGCATTTTTCAGCGAGCTATTGACGACGTACTGAGGGAAGATATCGGGAGAACATGTCACGTTTACATAGATGACATCATCATCTTTTCCAATGATAACGAAACTCACCTGCAGGACGTCAGCCGAGTGCTTGAAAAATTATATTCAGCCAACATGAGGGTCTCCTTGGAAAAAACTCAATTTTTTAAATCGGACGTTGAATTTCAGACATAATCAACAACGAGGTTCCGAAAACACTCCGCGCATTGCGTTCCATTTTAGGTTTGTCTAGCTATTATTGGCGCTTTATTAAAGATTATGCACTGATTGCCAAACCCCTCACAAAATATCTACAATCTAATGGAACAATTGGCACCAACTCCTCTTAAAAACATAAAAATTACATTTGATGATGAAGCCCATGAAGCGTTCCGAAAAATCAAGAATATTCTGTCTTCAGAGGACATTCTCCTTCTTTATCCCGACTACGAAAAGCCTTTCGATCTGACCACAGACGCGAAATCTCACGCCTTGGGTGCAGTCCTTTCTCAAGGAAGCAGACCCATCACTATGATATCGCGCACTTTGTCGCAAACAGAAGAAAACTATGCTACAAATGAGCGAGAACTTCTCGCGATTGTCTGGGCCTTTCAGAAAGTTAGAAACTATCTATATGGGGCAAACAATATCAACATCTTTACCGACCATCAACCGCTCACTTTTTCGATATCGGATAAAAATCCGAATGCGAAATTGAAGCGGTGGAGAGCCTTCGTGGAAGAGTTCTCCCCTAAATTTCATTATAAACCAGGCAAAGAAAACGTTGTCGCAGACGCGTTATCAAGGCAGCATATAAACAGTTTAGAACCCAAAGCCATGTCTCACTCTGACGGCGAGACTGTTTACAGTGAAGAATCGTCCACAGAAGTAATTTCCACGGTTGCGAACCCGATCAGTTCATTCGTAAATCAGATTGTTCTCGAAAGTGGAGATACAAATTCAAATACCAAAAAAATTCTGTTCCAATCACGCATCAGGCACTATATCATTTTTCATAATATAGACAATGTTTCTGATCAGTTAAAGGACTGCATCAATCCCAACGTTACCAATGGATTGCTATGCGACCTATCTGTATTAGGAAAAATTCAAAACAGAGTTAAAGCTGATTTTCCATCTGTCAATTTCGTGCATACAAAAAATTTGGTAACTGACATCTTTAACGAGGATGATCAAAAAGAAATCCTGTACGCGGATCATAATAGAGCTCATCGGTCTCTTAAAGAAAATATGAAGCAAGTCGTAAGAGACTATTATTTTCCAAACATGCGCAAAATGTTAAAAGAAATT